AATAATGGAAGGCATGCCTATCGCTCAGCTACAAAAATTTGCCAAGGGTTATAAAAATATTTTTTCTATTTGCTAAAATAATCAAAGTCTGCCTGATAATGTTGGGTCCAAAATGGATTACTTAGAACAGACAGGGAAAGAAAAGAAAAGTAATTAAAATAAAAAAAGGGGAGAGAGAAATGCCCACCCTTTTCATTCATGTAAAAAAAAAAAAAAAAAAAAAAAAGTGTATAAAAATAACGCCTTAATAAAAACAAACAAATAAGTAAATAAACAATACTGAATAAGAATTTGAAGATACTATTTAACTGCAGGAATAAGACCTTAAAAATTCCTTCCAAAGTGTAGCCAACATAAAGCATAAATTTTTGGTAACAATTACTAATAGCTTTCATGCCAAAAAAAAAAAAAAAAATTATAATAATAATAATAGGCTTGAGGATGAGGGGTTAATTCATATCTTAATATCACAATTTTAACTCTTAACCATATTGTTTTTTGTTTTGTTTTTTGTTTTGTTTTTATAAATATATAGCATCAAGATTGATTTGTCATCGAATCATTACAGACAATCAGATGAACTCTATGATACTCTCCCATGGTACAGGTTAATAATATCATTGCCCCTCTTCATGTCTACCTAATTAATTTGAAATTCCGTGTTGTGCACTTTAAAGGGTTAAGGCCATTCTAACATGCAGTGGAGTGAGGAATATATCCGTTTAGTACATTTATGTAAACGTATTTAAGTTTTAAAAAATATATATATATAAAAAAAAAGAAATATTTAGATGAAGGAAAGGTAAATGAATCAAAACAAATATGCGTATTTAAAGTGACAATAAAATCAATAACAGATTTATGCTTTCATTCACAAAGTGAGTGATAAGATACACACAAAAAAAAAACAAAAAAAAAAACTAACAAAAAAAACAAACAAACAAAAAAAAAATCTGACCGAAACTCTATACTAACTATGGCTTATAAAGATGGAGAGAGCGGTTATCAGGAGCTTACATGACTTTAAGGCAACCCCCAGAGACCACTCACGTACTTGGCTTCGTGTAAGGCGATGGGGAACGGAGGCCTAGATAGCAATCATGCCCCACCAGCCATTTCAAGTGGTGTATTACTGTAAGGTGAGGGGGGGGGAACCAGGGCCGTTGTATAGCGGTAAAATTGTAACCCCCGAACCAGCCATTTTCAACTTTTTTTTTTTTTTTTTTTTTTTTTAATGAGAAGTAGTAGTCTCATACATGAAAAAAAGATCCAAGATAAAGAAAGACACAGAAGAAACAGAAAGGAAAAAGAAAAAGATTTGATTTTTTAAATTTTTTTCTCTATTTTTTTTTTTTTTTTTTTTTTTTTTTCAGGGGTGGTTAAGGGCCATTACCGGAAATCTAATAAATACAAGAAAAGGGCGCAGTAAATTCACTCACCATTAATAATACAGGGTGATATAGAGTTGGGGGGGAGTGGGGAGGTGGGAGGGATGCTATTGAATACAAGGAGAAAATGATGAATATAAGTCCAGAGAAAACAACTACTCTCTGAAATGTAGTCCAGGCGCCAAAGCCTTTCAGAGGACAACCTTTGAGAAACTGGAAAAAGAGAGAGAAAAAAAAGAGGAGGGAGTCGTACAGCTTTTTCTCTGGCTTAAGGGGTTAGTTTGTGCATCGGTTCTTTGGGTCAAATGCTTACTCTGATGCCACTTTATTTATTTTTCTTCTTCTCCTTCTTTTCTTTTTTTATAACATTATCTTATTCTACTTTACTTTACTTTTCTTTACTTTACTTTTATTTTTTTTGCGGAGGATGCACTGGCATACATTTCATGAATGAGAGTAGAGTGAATGAAAAATTTTGATATTCCAAGATATATTGGGGAACCTCAATCAAATCAAATGAAAACTCACTTGTATCTATACAATTTACAATTCACTGCTCATGAATTTACCAAAAAAAAAAAAAAGAGAGAAAAAAAAAAGAATATAAACAAGTTTATAACCATTCAGGATTCTAAAAAATATATATTACCTTTATCTGATTCAGAAAAAAAATATATGTATAGAAATATGAAGATATATATACAAATATACACTGCATTATTTTGAAAGGGGCATCTATTTTTTTCATCCTAAACAGCATTTTGCCTATCTAGTGGTGGGACCATAGCAAGGGAATCCTAGAAACACATCATCAATAAAATATGCACCTTCCTGAGCAAAGCCCAAAGGGAATTTTGTGACACACACTGCGGCAAGTCTTCATTACCAACCTCGGCTAATCACCATTGCATTGGTGTAAAGTCATTGCTACCCTCTTTTATGGTGTCAAGTTATCCTGTGGGTTATTATAAAAGGGAGATCTTGTCGTTTTAAAGGGTTGCTTTAACATCCTCGGTTCTTTGAATTCCACACCAATAGTTTGATTATCTTCTTCAGGAAAAAAAATATTGGTTTAGGATAATTTACAAAGCGTTTGATGATTTTTAACGACAATGTTGTGGGATTTCTTTTTTTCTTTCTTGCTCTTCTCTCTCTCTCTCTCTTTCTTTTTTCTTTAGCAAAAGCAATGGCAGTATTTCAATTATCTCATGACAATTAAAATGTAAAGTTCAATCCTGAAGGTGACCTGACACTTCTTTTGCACTAAAATTAATCTATCAATCACTTCAGTCTGGTAAGAATACTGCCCGTACAATATCTTAAAAGTTTTGATTTACGTAATTTTGATAATTATGGCAATCTGGCACTTTAAGCACGATGTCAAATGCCTACATTAAGAATCCAATGAATCTATAGGTGTGGTACCTTTACGTGGAGAACAAGTAATTCCAAAATCTGGTGCAGTGTGCTTCCCTTGACCTATTTACTTGAGGGATAATCTCTTTTACGTGTTGGGCCAACAAAAGCCTTGTGGTGTACAAGCCTAATAATTTTCATTGTTTACCTCTTCATTCTTTAGTCTTTCGGCTTTAAACTTACTCAGCATGTATTGCTAAACATTCTCACAAAATGGTAGAATCATGCAATAACATCTCTGAAATTGATTCTCGCTCGCCAACGTGACACTTCAGAACTAAGTTACGAAGTAGCGGAAATTAAACTTCATTCTAGAAATCAATCATTGGTTATAACACAATAGATGGAATAAAAATAAGCTATCCTCAACTTGATATGTTTACAGCTCATGCTCACAGACACCATGAAAAATCAGTCACGAATCAGGCAGCGATAAGGGTTATCTGCCGTCAAAAACATTGGCCAGCGTAAAGAGAAGCGCTCAGGCACGTCCGTTCTCATTGTGTTCTCAGGGCATACTCGCTAAAGCCAGGAATCAAATGCATGGGAAATGGGTCTGTTTGCTACTGCAGGAAACATGGCAACATTTCAATATGTTCTTGCTTTCATTTTTTTCTTCTTTTTTTTCACTATCATAGTAAAGCCAATCTTCTCCCATCACGCTGGTAGATTAATAAGAAAAGCAAACATAATGACAGGCCAAAGTTTATCTGGTCCATTTCTCTCAGTCACTCCAAAAAGGAAAAGTTCCCTCACTTGTAATATTTGAATCTGCCTAACAAAATGTATACCTGGTTACATGTAATGGTAGTATACAAGCCTACACAAATCCTTACCTTAAAAAAATCACAAGATACTGACAATAGGTACAAGTAATATGAAGTGTATAATTTCATTTAGCATATGAGCTATTACCCTCTGAAAGTCAGACCTAACTCTCAGCTTTTCCATTTCTTCACATAACATATTCACCTCAAAGATAACTTGTTATATACAGTTAGCTCATTAATATCTTTAATCAATATATTTGTTTTTTTTTCTGCATTCCTTACCACAAAATATCTATAGGACATAAATAGGACTGATAATCAAGATATTATTTGTTAGTACTGCCACATGAACAGTTTCCCTACAAGCAAAAATGATCAAAACATCCATAGTCATTTTGGATTTTTCTTTCTTTACATTCTGGCACTACAGACTAGTACTATATTTGTATACAAAAAAAAAATTGCTTTCAAAAATACTAAAAACAAAGATACACACACACAAATATAACACAACATAAATGCGGACACACATGCAAACACAGCACAACACACACACACATATGCAGACACAGACACAGATGCCGACACACACACATATGCAGACACAGACACAGATGCCGACACAAACACTAATACAGACAGACAGACAGACACAAACACAGAGACACACACACACACACATATGCAGACACAGACACAGATGCAGACACAAACACTAATACAGACAGACAGACAGACAGACACAAACATAGACACACACACATGCAAACAAACACAAAAAAAACACACACAAAACACACACACACACACACACACACACACACACACACACACACACACACACTCACACACTCACACACACACACACACACACACACACACACACACACACACACACACACACACACACACACACACACACACTCACACACACACTCACACACTCACACACTCACACACTCACACACTCACACACTCACACTCTCACACTCTCACACTCTCACACTCTCACACTCTCACACACTCACACTCTCACACACTCACACACTCACACACTCACACACTCACTCACATAAGAGTTATATGCATAAGCACACACACACACACAACAAAAAAAATTCACTCATAAAACTTGGACCCTCAAACGCAGAACTCAGAACACACATACTCACAATAACATATATAGTAACTACTATGCAGTGCCATTAGGAACATTAGATAACCTGCAAGAACTGGGAACTTCGAAGTCTAAAAGAATCAATTATCAAGTAAAACTTCTCAATGTCAGAGCTACACTTGCAACCCGACAGTAAAAAGCTCCTCACCTTTTGACCATATTTGCTTTCTGAACTGTCTCACTACTCTGGTTTACTCTCATACTTGAAAATGCTGTTGAGGTGTAAGAGAGAAGCGCATTATCACTTACATGCAATGGCCCTGAGTCTGGGCACGCTAGGGGAGCCTGGGGGGCTGTCTGGACTCGAAGGGTTAAGCACAACACCCGCAGTCGGCTGCACTGTGATGTTGTGTCGGAAATCTACAGAGGAGAGCAGAGGAAAACACTGAGGCAACCATCGACATGCATTCATGGCTTCTTTTTTCTTCTTTTTTTTTTTTTACATTTTTTTAATCTCCTTTTTTCCCTCTCTGTCTCTCTCTCTCTCTTTTTTATTTATAAATGTGCAAAACAAGACATGTTTTCCCAAACTGTGATTTACTTTTCAAGATTCTCTTTTACAGATTAAAAGGTAAAAACTACAAATATGCTCAAATTTTTACTTGTCAACTTTAAAAGAACCTTTTTTTTTTTTTTTAATATTTAACAAACAAACAAACAATGAAAACAAACTTGTTTCAGAGAGTTAGCATGCTGTATTATTAGAGGGGTAGGAAAAATTAATCAAATTCATTAATACTATTCCTCCTATAGCTGTAAAAATAAGACCCCATGATGCAATACGAACTCCAAGTCCCTGTACTTCAAGATGTAACCATGGGAAAAAAATCATACTGTTAGTAATCACTGCATGCTGTTCACTACTATCTTGGCTGGTAGTGTCACCCTGCTGTTTTTTACATCTCTCAGTCATTACCAAAACTTATTTCCTTCTTTAAACACTAGGGTATGTTTTAATCATCTCCCCTCTAGGTTTGGGCATGAGGACACAAAAAGTAGTCCACTTTCCACATTAAACTAGAACGAGACAAAATCAGCTAAAAGGTCTTGCTTATTATTGTTTTTAAGTTACATGCAAACAATGCAAATTTAGATGGCATCGTTAAACTTAAAAGTCTTTGAAAATACCACTTGAGGGCATCGACAAACTGATATTGTTACAATATTAATTCCTTCTGATTAATCATGCTCCGATCAATATTCTTATTAAAGGCCTTTGACATTAGTTCTGAACCTAATAAGGAAAGCAAAATGCCTGAAGCAGAACGTAACTCCAGCAATTCAACCAAACATTTGCCAAGGTTCTCTCACCCTGTCAGCATCCCCTCCCCCTTATGTCAAGGGCACATCTAGGGCGCACGCACACACACACACACTCACACGCACAGAGGGAAAGTAGCAGTTGCCAAAGAACACACAAGCGCATCCTCTGCATCCCTCGTGGCCATACCTGACGGAGCTGAAATCTGGTGTGACCTGTTGAGGAGTTTCTTCTTGAACTTCCCCTTCCGTTTCTTTGGCGTGGGCTTGGCCGACTGCTGCTGGATGATGGCGATGGAGATCTCTCTCTGCAGGAGGTCCAGTTCTCTGTGATGTAGCTCTTCCTCGCGTTTCTTGAGCTGCTCGGCTATCTGTTTCTGCTGTACCCGTACTCTCCTTACTTCTTCCTCTCTACACCGCAGATCCTGCAGAGGACAAATTCACATTACATGGTCATGAAACTTCACATACAAATATAAATATAAGACACAGAAAGCCGATTTCTTTAAACATCTGTAATCAAAACTCCCAACCCTATATAATGACCGAAAATAATCATCACCAAAATTACCAAAGACTTTGCCTAAAATCAATCCAAATTTTCAGACAAAAATACCGTCTCCTCTCGTCTCGTCACAACCACTAATAAACAGGATACAGAATCCTCCTACCCCTCCCCCCAAAAACAAAAAAACACGTCCCACTCACGTTCTCCTTCATCCTAATCTCATTGACCTTCTCCTCGATTTCCACCTTCCAGTGGCCTTGCATAGTGTGGAAGCTCTCGTGGGGCGTCTGCGTGAAGTTGGACCGGCTGATCTCGTCCAGTTTCTTGAGGATGGTCTCAAAGGTCGGCCGAGAGTGAGGCTCCTGTTCCCAGCACGCTGCAGGAGGGAGGGAGGGAGGGCAAGTGAGGACGTGTGGGAAAGGGAAACAATATTAAAAAGAGTAATAATGCTTCTGGTCTTGATTGCTCAGAGGACGTGGTACATTTACCAAGAAGTAATAACAGTATAAAGGCTACTATTAATAAATAATGATGGTGAGTGAAAACGAGGAAAAAGAAGAGAAAAAACAGGGGAGGAGGAAGGAGGAGGAGGAGGAGGAGGAGGAAGAGGAGGAGGAGGAGGAAGAGGAGGAGGAGGAGGAGGAGGAGGAGGAGGAGGAGGAGGAGGAGGAGGAGGGAGGAGGAGGAGGAGGGAGGAGGAGGTGGAGGAGGTGGAGGAGGGAGGAGGTGGAGGAGGAGGAGGTGGAGGAGGAGGAGGTGGAGGAGGAGGAGGTGGAGGAGGAGGAGGTGGAGGAGGAGGAGGTGGAGGAGGAGGTGGAGGAGGAGGAGGTGGAGGAGGAGGAGGATGGAGGAGGAGGAGGAGGAGGAGGAGGAGGAGGAGGAGGGGAGGAGGAGGAGGTGGAGGAGGAGGAGGTGGAGGAGGAGGAGGAGGAGGAGGAGGAGGGAGGAGGAACAGGAGGAAGAGGAGGAGGAGGAGGAGGAGGAGGAGGTAGGAGGAGGAGGAGGAGGAGGAGGAGGAGGTAGGAGGAGGAGGAGGAGGAGTAGCAGGAGGAGGAGGGAGGAGGAGGAGGAGGAGGAGGAGGAGGAGGAGGAGGAGGAGGAGGAGGAGGAGGAGGAGGAGGAGGAGGAGGAGGAGGAGGTGGAGGTGGAGGAAGAGGAGGTGGAGGAAGAGGAGGAGGAGGAAGAGGAGGAGGAGGAGGAGGAGGAGGAGGAGGAGGAGGAGGAGGAGGAGGAGGAGGAGGAGGAGGAGGAAGAGGAGGAGGAGGAGGAAGAGGAGGAGGAGGAGGAGGAGGAGGGAAGTAGCAAAGGAAATAGAGGAGAAGAATTTTTTTTTTTAATAATAATAATAATAATAAATTTCAAAAAATAAAAATCAACAGCAAAGCTAACAAACCGGCGAACCAAAAACAACGGCACTTCAAACAAACCTTCCATTAAACTTCTCCAGTTAGACGGGCACGTGGTAGGTATGTGGAGTCGCAGTTTATTCATGGCCACACCGTACGCAATTGCTAACGTGTCAATCCCTTTGTATGGGGTCTCCCCGGTCAGGAGTTCCCAAAGTAACACACCATAGCTGCAATGAATATGAAAGTTAACAATTGTGACTATTCTCTAGCAGACAAGCCAATAGTAACCATAATACAGATAGTCCCCTACTTAAGAACATTCTACTTATGAACATTCCATACATCCAAACAAAATTTTTTAAGTACTAAAGTCCAAAAAATTGTTTGAAAGATGCTAGCAAACTTTTAATTTCCTGGGCATGAATATAGTTCAAGAGTCTGGTACTGTATAAGGTATGTCGTACTTAATGGGATTTATTTACAGGTATTCTTAATGTAAACAAAACTTTAAAACAATGGGAAAAAAGGTAATGGAGACCCGACTTTCGACATACATACAATTTAGAATTTAATAGCATTGAATGAGTGCTGGTGGTGCTGCTTAGGGGTGGTACAAAGCAAGAATTGTCTGCATAAATGAAATATCAAAGGCCAACCTATGATATATTAATATGAGATAATACAATTCCGTGAAGAGAAACTTTATATATACTAGCCTAAGGAGAGATTTCAGTATCCGTAATGCAGTTATATGATACTTTGATATTGTGAGGTGGTATCTATCAGTCATGTGTTTAGTGTTACTTGGAAGTACCAATATATAATAAACAAAAAAAAATTAATTCTTATAATCAGAGAAATGTAACACAGATTATAATCTAAAAGCATTTTTTTCAAGAATCAAGTTTTATCATTTTCATTTGTTGTTTAGGCTTTTTTCAGTAACTCTATAGTTAAAAGTAACTCTATAGATTAAATGTCATTAGTATGTAAGAATTTAAGAGTTTGTAAGATTTGTTTATCAAGGATTAAATGACGAAGTTTCATAGACATATAATCAATAAGTAATTTATCTATACACGCATCAGAACATGGTAATAAACTTACAGATAAAAGCCAGCAACATTATAAATGAGATAAATAAAAATCTCTTTACAGATAAAGAAAATAACTAATTAAAA